TTTGATTTTTGAAATGTGAAAGTTGTTTTGTTATTTTTGAAATAGGGTAAAGATAAAATAGGAAAAATGAATTTTTCCCTTAAATGAATTAATCTTGGCCTCACGTCTGACATGCTCAGGACCGATGGATTGGATGCCTTAAGGGTGATTTTATAACCCTTTCTCGACTCTTCAATTTACTGTTGATTTGTATTCTAGGGTTTTCTTCTTCGTCTTCTCTCGAGTGGTTTTTCTCTTCATCTTCTTGGGATCTTCTGGTTTTTGATCTCTGTAAATATCTTCGTGATATTGTTAGTGTATTTGGTGTACATCTAGTGGTTGCGAGGAGAAAGGTTTTGCATTAGAGAGGCGAGAGGAAACATTAAAGAAGAAATCGATTTCTTCATACATTTTGTATTGTTCTTTGTGTTTTTTAATGGATTCGAGTATAATCTACTTATTAGATGCTCAAAGGGTGAGCGGCTGTTAAAGCTGAACATTCGGGCCCTAAAGGGCGAAACATCTGTGTGTTCATATTTTCTGCAATTTTTGTTTCTTGCTTCTGATTTTTGGTATGAAAATCTCGATTCTGAGACCAACAAATTATATTCCAAAAATGATTTTAGAGGAAGTTACCATGGACAAAATTTCACTAAAAGCTCTTAAAGTTAGCAAAAACGCTTTCATAAAATTAGTCAAACATATTTAAAAGTAGTTTTTGCGTCTCAAAAGTCCCGTTTGATTTTTTAAAAGCCATGTCAAATGGACCCTAATAAAGAATATAGGACTCACGTAATCATGTTTTCAGTCGATTTCGAGAAACACAAATGCTTTTTGTTAAATTAAATATACATACTAGTTTTGTAAACGGACATATTACGTTGTATGGTACACTTAGCGGCTGCCTGTTTCTGATTTTGGACAGGATTTTAATTGTTTTTTTTACCGTTGCAAGAGGAGCCAGCCGCAAAATTTGACTTAGGCCCTGTTTGAGAGAAATTTTAATCAAAATTCTAGCCGTTAACTATCAAATCATATTCCTTTTTTGACATTTCCTCTCATAGGTCGGGCCCACAGGTTGACTATACCGGCTATTATTTTGATTAACATCCTA